CCTGCTCTTATACATGCAAATCTTGCTTTTATATAGACTTTTCTCCAGGTAAAGCTCAGCTGTCCTGGCTGGAAAACAAGGTACTACAAACGAAGAAAACAAAATTTAATGTTTTCTACTTGTATAATAAGTATATTTCTGCCATCCACAATTTAATTTTTCTACTTGTATAATAAATATATATATATTTTTTTGGTTTCAACTAAGCTTTTTCAAGCCTTGTAGATCATACTTGATCTTCTTTCTTATGTCTATCCAAGCCAATGGCGGAATTTTTCTTTTTTTAAAACTTTTAATGAAATTTACTACTTTTTTTGAGAATTTATGCTAGTCAATTTATGCATCATCTTCATTATTAGGTTAAAGAGCATTTGGACATTGCCATTCATATGCTGCCTTTCGTTAATGAATTTCAGCCGCGTATTGCTGACCAATTTATATAGGAAGATTTAGTTCCATACTACTTAATTTAATTTCACATGTACTTACATATCTATCATCTTGTCGGCACTAAAAGAAAGTTAAAAGAAAGTTTGGGGGGTCGCCCATAAGAAGCTGTCGGCAGCCGGCATCGAAATCCTATCGCCCGCTTCGGAAGGACGTTTTAATTTACGTATATACATGTATATAATTTTAGAAAAATATGAAATCAAACTGACCTCATATTTTTCATAGTTTAAACGAAAAAAACACTCTACCTCAAATCCTGTATCTACCCCGAGGGATAAACACAAGACTTGAGGGTGAGGCTCGATCAAATAAACTAAGAAAACATATGACATCCGTTTGAGTCTGCGAAATCGTTTTATTTGCCGACAAGTTCCCATATTTAATACAAATAATTAAATAGGGTTTATTTTAAACTGGGTTCGGAAAAGCTTCCTATAAGAGCAAGCCCCTATAGTTAATTACATCTTAAATGACCGAAGCCACCTAAGAAAACTCTCGATAAAAATCAGGGAATATCATCTTCGAAGAGGTCAAAAGGATAAGACTTTACAACGAAATCAGACAAAGAGATGTGAAGGGGGAAAAGCTCAAATCTAGATCATTGTTAAAGAATCCAAATGAAGAAAAACTAGGGGAAGCCACAGATCCTGAGGCTAACCTCAGTAGGTTCCCAGTCTATCCTATGGTTTGACTTCAGCTTTAAGAAGAAATTATTAAAGTGTTTCATCCTGCCAATTTTATTTAGTTAGGACTTATATTCGCGTGGCACGATCACACAAACCGCCTAAAAAATATGAGGGTTTACGTCGTATCGGACGATAACCTCAGAACCTAGAACGAGTTAGGGCTTAAATCGTACAGCAGGGCTATACGAATGCCTAAAGAAAAGGTGGAGGACTTATGTTGCGCTAAACAGACAACCTCGAAATCCTATGGATTGTTGTTTAATTTCTAGGAAAAAGAATGGTTTTGCTGGGGAAGACATGTTCTGCTGTTGAAGATGGCCGTGTTGCCCACCGCGCTAACGAGTTTAAGTTTTCTAGGGTGTCCAGTTATAGTGTCAAATCAAACGGCCCTATGGTTGTAGTCCTCTAAACATCCTCGTGAAATAATAGCAGACAATAAAAACAGGAGCAGTATGTATTGACCAAATTGGTAACAAGATCCAATTGACCTAACCAACGCTCCTAGAGCGTCTTTAGGGTGTCTATAGTTTAGCCAATACCTAGAGGTTCAATTAACCCCATGGATTGTCCAATTGGTTAACCATTTCCAAGTTTGACCCCATTGAACTCATAAAAATCCAATTCATAGCAAAAAGGAAACATGTTTGAAGTTATAAAAAAGTAAAGTGTGCGATGCAGGAACAAATAATAGAATGCACGTGAAACAATAGCAGACAATAAAAACAGGAGCAGAATAACATGCTATACAAGAAGAATAGTAGCAAGTAGAAACAGAACAAGTGTAACATGCTGTACAGTACGGTAGCAGGTAGAAACAGAAATGGTATAACATGCTATATAAGAAGAGCAGTAGCAGGCAGAAGATAGGAAAATTAAATGCTGTAAAATGTAAAGCAAACCTGTATAGCATGTTAAGTATAGCATGTTAAGCAAACCTGTATAGCATGTTAAGCAAACCTGTATAGCATGTTAAGCAAACCTGTATAACAGGTAGAGCAAACCTGTATATTAAGCAAACCTGTATAGCATGTTAAGCAAACCTGTATAACAGGTAGAAATCGTGAGATCCGTCGTTTCTTAAGTATGGCAAACCTAAATGCATCTCAAAAAGCAAATTCTGAAAGAAACGTCGTCCAGGAAACCTGAGGAAAAGCGGAGAACTCGAGAAAAATCAACGAAAAAGACTCAAGTAAAAGAAAATCCTCAAAAAAACTCCCGGGGAAATTCCATTCCTGGGGAAAATCCCGAAAGAAAGAAAAAGCAACACGAGTGCTCTATCCCAAAGCTTCGATAAAACAAAGAAACAAAATTCGGATGGGGGACCGCAAGCACTTGTATGGGGCTAGGCTCAGCTATATTTATTCTCGAGGGTCCACGAAGGCTACTCGGTCACCCGAATGTATAGAACCCTCCACTCGTCTAGAAGGGTGTCTTGAACCTCACTTAGAGGGCTATT